CCCAGGAGAGACGGGAGCCTTGGCTGTGACCCAGCTGCCATGTGGGGATGGTTTGGAGAGGTCAGAGCATCCAAACGCTGTGGAAGGGGGTTGGATGTGAATGAACAGCCCAAGGTTCACCCCTAGCACGGGTGGCCATGACAAAGGAAGAGGTTATGGAGCAGGGAGGTGGCTGCACTGGTCTCAGTGACTAAATGCCAGCATTTCAATCTCCCAGGTTCCATTTGCAACTGTCTCATCTTGCACTTGAAGAATACATGGTGCCTTCATGCTCTCAGCAAGCTGGCTGGGCACACCTCAGCTGCAGCTCATAACATACCAGTAAATCAGCTCAGGCAGGGGGCTGGGAAGGGGTTCAGGTGTCCTGGGATGCTGTTCCCCTGCCCAGGAGAGACGGGAGCCTTGGCTGTGACCCAGCTGCCATGTGGGGATGGTTTGGAAAGGTCAGAGCATCCAAACGCTGCCAAAGGGGGTTGGATGTGAATGAACAGCCTAAGGTTCACTCCTAGCACAGGTGGCCATGGCAAAGGAAGAGGTTATGGAGCAGGGAGGTGGCTGCACTGATCTTGGTGACTAAATGCCAGCATTTCAATCTCCCAGGTTCCATTTGCAACTGTCTCATCTTGCACTTGAAGAATACATGGTGCCTTCATGCTCTCAGCAAGCCGGCTGGGCACACTTCAGCTGCAACTCATAACGTACCAGTAAATCAGCTCAGGCAGCACAGCCCTGCACTGGGGTGCAGCTGGGGCAGGTTATTGGTGAATACAGATCACCCCATAGGAGCAGAGACACCTACTCTGCTGGGCATCCAGGCAAAACCTGCATTTTGCTGTCCCCTGTGGAGACTGTGCATTGCCAGGGGCTCTTCCAGGCTGAAGACCCATCAGGGGATGGAGAACCTCCTGGGATCCTAAAACCATAATGCTCATTTCCCTTGGTGGCCATGAACGGGCTGGGGCTGTGAGCCCAGGAATGCTTTGCCCCAGCAGGGAAGCCTGGCCATGCAGGGCACAGCCCTGACGTTTCTTGCCCAGAATTATCAGCACGGAGTTCCTTAAAAGAATAGTTTGTTATTGTGGCAGGATCTTTGAAGGCAATCCTGGAGCTGTTAAGACACGATAAGGTTATCAGTGGAGGCATGCCTGCGTTGAGCGGCAGCCTTTCTCCCTGCGGGGCAATCACTCTGCTATTTAACAGAGATTTATCCATGTCATAACATGGTATAATGAGAGAATTTGTTACCAAAGAACTTGCCATAATGCACCTCTGCTCTTCCAGAGCAGTTATATTTCCCAGGCATGTCGAGGGCTGCCCGGGAATGTCTACATGAAAGGATCCTTTGACAGGAGTTGTCAGTATTTTAACACCTGGCAAGGAAGAGCCCCCCCCTCCAAATAACCCTTGTTTTGCCATGTTGTCTCCTCCAAAGGAGGGAGTGAAGCCCCCATACTGTGGGCGAGCAGCTATGGGGGCCACGGCCACACCAGAGCTGCTGCTTCCAGCCAGACAGAGGGGAGTAACCACCTTCCCAGTGGGACCCAGTTTGGAGACAATCCCTGCTGGAAACATGGGATCACAGCTGGAAAGTCAACCTGGCCATGGAGTCAAGGTGTGGTCAGCATCATCAGGGTTTCAGTGCAAAATGTGGGGATTTCACTGAAAGGTAGGGTTTCTAAGCATCTTCTCCCTCCAGCAAGTCAACCTACCTGTGGAGTCAAGGTGTAGTCAGCATCATCAGGGTTTCAGTGCAAAACGTGGGTATTTCAGTGAAAAGTGAGGTTTCTAAGCATCCTCTCCCTCCAGCAAGTCCCTGTGCCTCCAATACCCAGGATTATTTCCTGCTGCCAGATCCAGCTTCACGTCACAGCTCCCGATCACACCCACCAGTGACCACAGCATCTCCCCCTGGGACCTGTCCCCCACCAGCCCACCCCCTGCTCTCCCTGGTGGCTGGTACCTGCTGCTGGCCACGGGTCCAACACATCCTCCCCCTGCAGGAGCTGCTGCAGCCTCCCTGGGCAGGAGCCTCTCCCTTTTGTACCTCCCTTAGAAACACCACCTGAAAATGCTTTACCTCGTTTGCCCCCGCAGCAGTTCCCGGGGTGGTAGGAGCCCACCCAGGCTCACTGGGAGCCACCGTGGGCAACAGGGGCTTGCTCAGCCCATGGCTGGATCCCCTCTCTCCAAATCCCTGAAAGGAGGGTGTAGAGAGGTGGGGGTCGGTCTCTTTTCTCAAGTCACAGGCGACAGGACAAGAGGAAATGGCCTCAAGTTACACCAGGGGAGGTTCAGGCTGGATATTAGGAAAATTTTTTTCACTGAAAGGGTTCTCAGCCATTGGAATGGGCTGCCCAGGGAGGTGGTTGAGGCCCCATCCCTGGAGGTGTTCAAAAGAGGGGTTGATGTAGTGCTGGGAGGTATGGTTTAGTGATGATGCTCCTTGTTTGTTGTGTGGGTGTCTATTTTTGTCAGTGAGGTTGACGGTTGGACAAGATGATCTTTAAGGTCCCTTCCAACCTAGAAGATTCTGTGATTCTGTGAAAGGGCAGCGGGATGGGGAAGCACAGATCCCTCTGCAGACCCTCCTGATGTGCAGGGACATCGGGATGGGCTCAGGGCAGTGAGGAGATGAGGACTGAGCCATCCCTGGTGCCCTACCAGCCCCGTGCTCGCTGCCCAGCCCTGGGGTCCCCCAATTAGGGCAGCCCAGGCTCAGGACCCCCCAGGAGGGGCAACTCATAGCCTGGTGGTGGAGGGAGCCTCGTTGGCCTCTGTAGCACACCTGTACTGGGATGGCTGAGGACAAGCTTTAACCTCCTCACAAACACTCTGCACGGTGGTATTTTTTTGGCACGGGGCGGTGTGTTGTGGGGATGAGATAAAATACTTTTGGAGCAGGAACATGCCCTGCCATGCAGGGACTGGCTTCTCCCCGTTGCGGCAGGGGTGGGCTCCTGTTATAGCAAACACATTCTTTGTGAGGTGGAAAACCAGCGTGGCACTGGCGAGGTGGAAGGGAATTGCACATCCCCACACCTGGGAGCCGACACACGCCTTTACTGGAAGCTGAAGGCTCTGCCTTCCCCCCCACCTTTTCCTGCAGCGAGGAGCAGCCTCCCCACCCCCTGGCACTGCCAGCCCAGTCCTGCTGCAGATGGTGGCTTCTGGTGGGACTGGACCCAGGATGGTCCCAGAGGTGATGGACACCACGGCTGAGGGGCTCTGCTGTGCCTGGACCCGTCCTGGGGGGAGGCAAGCAGGGCTGGCTCCCCAGCACACTGCTTCCATTCCCATTTTCCATCCCACCAGGAGCTTCCCCCGAGCTGAGCAGGTCCAAGGGCCTTAGGAGAGGAGTTTGCCCCTTGCTCTTACCCCAGCAAATCCCTTGTGGCCTCATGAGGAGTGGTTTTGGTGGCCACAACATGTTTCACTGAATTTCACTGAATTTTTAGTCCCCCCCACCTTTTCCTGCAGCGAGGAGCAGCCTCCCCACCCCCTGGCACTGCCAGCCCAGTCCTGCTGCAGATGGTGGCTTCTGGTGGGACTGGACCCAGGATGGTCCCAGAGGTGATGGACACCACGGCTGAGGGGCTCTGCTGTGCCTGGACCCGTCCTGGGGGGAGGCAAGCAGGGCTGGCTCCCCAGCACACTGCTTCCATTCCCATTTTCCATCCCACCAGGAGCTTCCCCCGAGCTGAGCAGGTCCAAGGGCCTTAGGAGAGGAGTTTGCCCCTTGCTCTTACCCCAGCAAATCCCTTGTGGCCTCATGAGGAGTGGTTTTGGTGGCCACAACATGTTTCACTGAATTTCACTGAATTTTTAGAGTTGGCAGGGACCATAGAGATCATCTAGTCCAACTGCCCTGCCAAAGCAGGACCACCCAGAGCTTGTCAGAGCATGTTACTCAGGAGCATCCAGGCGGGGCTTGAAAATCTCCAAAGAAGGGGAATGTTTTCCATCAACAAGCGGCTCCGGGCGCTGCAGAGCATCCTCCTCCCCTCCGTGAGCCACCGCTGTCACTGCGAGTGGCTGCACAGGTGGGGACAGACCCTGCCTGTGTCACACCTGCTGGTCAGAATTAAACCCCAAGGTCTTGCATAATTAGCTGTGATTCTGTTAATGACAGTAAGCACGATTTCCTTGGGCTGTGGTGCGTCGGCGCCCTCAGTGCTCCCAGCCTGGGGCTCAGCCCGGAGCTCTGTGCCTTGTTGGGGGTCACCTTTCCAAAATGGGCAGAGGGATGTATGAGCGAGGGTTTTCAGCTGGTTTTCAGCAAGATTTCCCCTCAGCCACAGTGTAGCCAGGGCTCCTGCTTTGCCCGAGCACGTCGGCTGAGCTGGGGAACCCTTCCTGCAGCGCCCAGCCCCGCACCCGGTCGGTGGTTCTATATGGTTTATATGGATACAATGCAGAGCGGGTGAATTTGGTCATATTTAAATATTTCCAGGGGAAAAAACAAATATCGAGCCTAGAGATCACAAAGACAGGCTGATTTTCCTGCTGTCAGTCCCCTACGAGGCGCAGGGAGGGCGCAGGAGCGGTTTGCAGCGCTGTCATCCCTCATGGAGCTGCCGAGGATCCCGGGTGCCATCCCCTTCTCCTGGCACACGGAGCAGCTCGGGCACCAGCACTGGCCCTCCAGGGGGGCTGCGGTGCCACGGACCATAATTGGCTTTATAACAAGTCCTTATTTTAATTTGCTGCTTTACTGCTGTGGTGGCATTTCCCTGGGAGTGGGGAGAAAGCGGCGGGTGGGTGAGAGGAGTCGAGGGAGGAGGAACATCTCAGTGGACGCAGGAACATCAGCCTGAGCCCAGCCCTGGAGTGGAGAAGGGAGCCCTGCATTTACCCCACAGCAGCTTTATACCCCCAAAATCAATGTTTTTCGGGTCGAGCCAAGCTTCATCCATGGCAGAGCTCAGTTTAATTGCAGGTAGAGCAGCACCACCTCCTCCACCGCCCCGTCAGGCCGGTGATGGGTGTCCCTTCTCTTCCAGTACTCCCCCCTGCTGAAGAAACTCTACTGTCAGATCGCGAAAACATGCCCCATCCAGATCAAGGTGTCCACCCCCCCTCCCCCGGGCACCATCATCCGGGCCATGCCCATCTACAAGAAGGCAGAGCACGTCACCGAGGTGGTGAAACGTTGCCCCAACCACGAGCTCGGGCGCGACTTCAACGATGGTGAGTGATGCTCTGGGGGTGTGGGGGTGTCAGGGGGCACAGCTGGGGCTGGGGGATGCAGTCGGGGCTGGGGGGGGGACATCGCCAGGTCCTACCACAGTGGTCTGTTTGCCTTGCAGGCCAGTCAGCCCCCGCCAGCCACCTCATCCGGGTGGAAGGCAACAACCTCTCCCAGTACGTGGACGACCCCGTGACGGGGAGGCAGAGCGTGATGGTGCCCTACGAGCCCCCACAGGTATCCGGGCTGGGGGGCGGGTCAGGACCCTCTCTCTGGGCTACAGCAGTTCTGCCCATGCTGGGGGTGAACCCGCTGGTGATTGGGCACGTTTGTGTCCCCAGCAGGAGCCCTGCTGGCTGTGGCACCTCTGAGGCCACCCCAGCTTGCTCACCGGTGGCCACTGCGTTCAAGCATCCTCAGCTCCCAGCCCCGTGAAGCATCCCAGGGCATCCTGTTCCTGGGAAGTGGGGTGCAAAGGGAAATTCCTTCCAATCCAGCCCTGGATTGTCCCCACAGTCATTGTACTGTCCCCTCTTCCCAGATAGGACCCCCCCAAACACCTCCCTTCCCTGGTGAGCTCCCCCTCAGAGCTCCCCTGTTCGCCCTGCCAAGGTGCCAGCCCCAGGCCAGGAGCTGGAGGGTCCCAGTTTGCCTCCCCCCATCATTTCCTGGGGGTCCCAGCCTGCATCCACCCCCCCCAATCACTCCTGGGGGTCCCATCCTGCATCCACCCCCCCCTCCATCACTCCTGGGGGTCCCAGCCTGCCCCCCCTATCACTCAGTGCCTGCTCTCCCCTCCCGGGCAGGTGGGGACGGAGTTCACCACCATCCTGTACAACTTCATGTGCAACAGCAGCTGCGTGGGAGGAATGAACAGGAGGCCCATCCTCATCATCATCACCCTGGAGACGAGAGAGTGAGTGGCTGTGGGAGCAGGGATCCCCTCGGCTATGGGGCTGGGGTCCCTCGGGAGGGAATCCTGCCCTTCAGGGAGCACCCCCAGGGGATGGGGACGTGGCAGCACCCCAACAGCCTGGAAAAGGCTCTTCTCTGCCCATTGGCATGGAGGGACCGGGGACCCAGCCCAACGTTGGCTTCTCCCCCTGCAGATGAAGCCTTCTTCTGCCCCAGGAGCAACTCTTCCCCAGGAGAGAGATGCTGAGGGGCTCCCTGCACTCAGTGCCCGGGGGGGCTCAATGGCACGGAGGGATGGGGTGGCACTTTGCTGCTGTGGGTCCTGGTTTTTCTGGACCATCACGTGCTGGGCTGAGCAGAGAGTCACCAACTTCTCTCTCTCTCTCTCCTCCCAGTGGCCAAGTCCTGGGAAGGAGGTCGTTTGAGGGACGGATCTGTGCCTGCCCCGGCAGGGACCGCAAGGCGGATGAGGACCATTACCGAGAGCAGCAAGCCCTGAACGAGAGCGCGGCCAAAAACGGCAACACCAACAAACGCAGTGAGTCCCTTCCCGGGGGACAGAGCTGGGGGGTCATCAGGGTGCTCCCGGCCAGCACCCCCCTTTCCCATTCTGCCTCAGCTCCTTTCCCATTGCACCCACAATCACTGCGCTCCAGAAGTTCGGGCTCAAACACCCACCCAGGCACGACGCTTTGCCTTTTTCTGAACTAAATCTAAAATCTCATAAATAGGAGATTTTAGATTTTGCAAAAGTTTGTGCAGGGCTTTCACATCCAGATAAATTTGTTCTTCATTATTATAGAATCATAGAAGCAATCATTCAGGTTGGAAGAGACCCTTGGGATCATCGAGTCCAACCATCTCCCCTACTCTACAAAGTCCTCCCCTACACCATGTCCCTCAGCACTGCATCTAAACGGCCCTTAAACACAGCCAGGGATGGTGACTCAACCCCCTCCCTGGGCAGCCTATTCCAATGCCCAACCACTCTTTCTGTGAAAAACTCCTTCCTAGAATTATTGCTAATAAAGGGACACCATCAACGCCAGAACCCAGGGGAGCAGCCCTCATCCTGCACGGCAGGGAGCTGAGGTGCCCCCCCACGTGTCCTGCCCTCCTGGGGACAGCCTGGAAACGCTCTTCTCTCCCTTCCAGCCTTCAAGCAGAGCCCCCAGGGCATCCCGGCACTGGGGACTGGTGTCAAGAAACGGAGGCACGGGGAGGAGGAGATGTACTACGTGCCAGTAAGTGTCAGTGAGCTGCACTGGTGGAGAGCTCGGCTCGGGATGATGGTGACATCGTCCCTTCTGCCAAAAATTGATCATAGAATGGTTAGAGTTGGAAGGGACCTTAAAGATCATCAAGTTCCAACCCCCCTGCCATGGGCAGGGACACCTCCCACTAGAGCAGGTCGCTCAAAGCCCCATCCAGCCTGGCCCCCATCCCCACAAATGCTCTGGGGATGTGATGCTGGGCAGGACGGGGCTGCACGGTCTCCTGCAGAGCAGCAGGGATGGGGGCTGATCAGGGACCTAGAGCCCAGGAGCAAAAGCATCTGTGATTTCACATGTCCAAGGGGGTTCTGGACCCCCCCACAGTCCCTGGACACCGTGACTCTGCACCTTGTGCAGCTGGATGGGGAAAAAGGGCCACAGGGACAGTGATGAGGTGGGACAGGAACCAAGCAGAGCCCCGGGCTTGTTCCCTCCTCCAGGTGCGAGGCCGGGAGAACTTCGAGATCCTGATGAAGATAAAGGAGAGCCTGGAGCTGGTGGAGCTGGTCCCGCAGCAGCTGGTGGATTCCTACAGGCAGCAGCAGCAGCAGCTCCTGCAGCGACAGTGAGTACGGCCAGAGCAGCCCCCCGAGGGCAGGGGGAGGCTGGGACCAGCCCTGGGGTGTCCACAGCACCTCTGCCACCTCCAGACCACCATTATTGGTGCAAAACACCTTCTCCTCCTCCCAGAGCCCCCTGTGGGGAGGTGTGATGGGCCAGAGGGGAGCCCTGGATGGGGCATGGGGGGCTCCATCCCTCTGCTGACCCCCCCCCTTGCTTTCTCCAAGCAGGACCCAGCTGCAGACCCCGTCCTCCTACGGGCCCGTCCTTTCACCCATGAATAAGGTCCACGGTGGGGGAATCAACAAGCTGCCCTCCGTCAACCAGCTGGTGGGGCAGCCCCCCCAGCACAGCTCCGGCCCCACACCCGGCCTGGGGGCCATGGGTAAGGTCCTCCTCACCACCCCGGGCATCCATCCCCCCCCTCTCAGGGGCTCTGCCCACCTGGGTGGGGTCCCTGCCGAGGGACTGGGGGGGTTATCCCAGGAGGGGTGATGTCTAATGGCTGTGTTCATCACCAGGACCCGGGATGCTGAACAGCCACCCCATGCAACCCAACGGAGAGATGAACGGGGGCCACTCCTCCCAGTCCATGGTCTCCGGGTCACACTGCACCCCCCCGCCGCCCTACAACCCCGACCCCAGCCTCGTCAGGTAGGGAAGGCGACCCGTGCCCTGTCTGTCTCCTCCCCCGGTGTTTCTTGCTGTCCCTCCCTCGCTCTAACCCTCGGATCTGTCTCCTAACTGCTCAACTGGCCACTGGTCCCAGCTGAGAAATCACTGCTGGTGAAATCTCATCTCAGAATCCAAAGCCCAGCTCCCTACCCGATCACCCTTGTGTACCTCTACCTGGGTAATCCATCCTTGCTTAATTAAAAATTAAAAATGCATCCAAACGAGAGTCTTTTCCCTCCTGTCAAACCAGCCCGTAGCTTTGTGAACTCCCCCTTCCTCTGCAAAGGGCTCCGGGGATGCGCTACCATCCAGGTGCTTTTTAACCTTTTAAAGGCCACTTTTTAACATTTCAGTCTTGAAAAAGACCCCGAACATTGCGACAGACCCTCCTTTAGCAGGGGATTTGGACTGGATGATCTCTCTGGTCCCTTCCAACTCTAAAAATTCAGTGAAATTCAGACCCTCCCGAGGCAGGGGGGCTGTGCTGTGGGGCTGCAGCCCCCCCCTGATGACGTGCAAACCCCCTCCTCTGTCCCACAGAGCAGGGACTGGCTTCGCTGCCCACACTCAGGCATGACCCCCCCTCCCTCTGGTTATTCCAAGTTATTCAGCTGAAGCCTCCAAAGAGCAGGAGAATAACAAAATGCAGTTTTAGGAATGAGACTTGTCCCAGGCTTCACTTTGAGGTTAGTGGCAAAGGAGGTCACGCTTGGGGTGGCAACAGCCCCAGAAAAAAGGCAGCTGGGATACCCCCAGGGGAGATCTGCCACCCCCCTGCCTGCCCCAAGTGGGGTTGGGGGCACTCATCATAGTCCCCCTGCCTCCCAGTGACCCCACACAGGGCTTGGGGCTGCAGAGCTGTGGTTCCGGAGAAGTTAACGCCACTTTATTTTCCAAATTTTTTCTGCAGTTTTTTAACAGGATTGGGGTGTCCAAACTGCATCGACTATTTCACCTCCCAAGGGTTACAGAATATTTACCACCTGCAGAACCTATCCATAGAGGTAAATGCTTTGGGGGAGATCTCTTCTTACCGCTCGTTTCTCTCAGCTGTCCATGTGAAAAGAGAGGGCAAAGCCCTTGGAAAGGGACGGGGAAGCTCTGGACCAGCCCCTCACGCAGAATATTTGCTCCCCAGGATTTACCCCTCCCATTCCTGCATCCCCCCGGGCTCCTGAGGGTTTGGCAGGAGCTCTGTCACCGGCAGCAGCCACCTGAGCCTCAGTTGGTTCCTCCAGACTGTCAGGCAGAAAAAAGCTAAGGGATCCCCGGGTAGATTTTTCCACCTAAAACACAGAAAACCCAGCTGAGGTGCTCAGTGAAATAACCCCAACCCCCTCAAACCAGCAGGAACACGGCAGCCCAGCGAGTTCTAAATCTGATCTTACTCTTCCCCTGATAATCTTTAAGGCAAAAGAGGCTGAAATAAGGGAGTCAAGCCCAGGGCTCTTGTATTAAGGCAACCCTGGGATGAAATAGTCCAGGTCAGGTAAAAGCTGGTGTGAAAACCAGCAGAAATGCTAGAAATGCCTGAGTTTGCACAGAGCATCTGCTGCTGCCTCTCTCGGTGACGATGTCGAGGGTGGCACCGGCTTCCCCAGCCCATCGGGGTAACGAGGAGGAGAAAAAAACATTAAATCTTAAGCCCCTTTGAGCCGTAGCAAGCCCTGCAAATCCCTGAGCTGGTGTTTTTGGCTCCTGCCCTGCTCTTGTTTTGCCCCGGGCAATTTGTTTTGGTCCCTGGTGGGGAGCAGGACCTCGCTGTGACCACGCAGCCCCTGGAGACACGATGGTTTTTCCTTGGTAGCTGGGGCCAGTTGCGTAACTTTAGCCTGGTCTTGGACCAAATGTTCCCAACTAACCCCGTGACCCGTCTGCAAGCTGGCGAGGGAGGCGTTTGGTACGGCCAGAACGTGTCCCAGCCCCTGAGCTGTGTGTCCCAGCAATTTGTAGTTACTAATTACGTACTCGTCTGCTCTGGTTAACCCTCACCCCGGTCTCTGTGTTTGGCGTTGACGTGGATCTCTGGCACCTCTTGCTACGACGGTGATGGCTGGTGCAGGGCCCCCCATCCCGAGGTTATTGGTCTCATTTGGCTTTATAACCACAACCTGTTGTCCCACTGGTGTGTGACACCGGTCCCTGGGGCCAGTGCTGCTCCAACCTCCTGGTCCTGGACTGGAGGAGAGTCCTCAGCCCAGAAAACACATGAGGACACTTCACACCCTGCTTTGCCACTGGCGTCCCATCAGTTTGATCATAGAATCACGGAATAATTCGGGTGGGAAGGGACCCTAAACCCCCCAAAGTGCCACCCCCTGCCCTGGGCAGGGACACCTCCCACCAGACCAGGTTGCTCCAAGCCCCCTCCAACCTGGCCTTGAACCCCTCCAGGGATGGGGCAGCCACAGCTTCTCTGGGCAACCTGGGCCAGGCTCTCACCACCCTCACACCAAAGAAGTTCTTCCCCAGATCTCATCTCAATCTCTCCTCTTTCAGTGTCAAACCCTTCCCCCCCATCTTATGGCTCCCCTCAAGAGTCCCTCCCCATCTCCCGTAGGCCCCCTTTAGGGACTGATCTGAACCCACCCCCAAAAAAAAAATCTAGAAAAACCAATTTCCAACCTGGAAAGCTTGGTTGGTTTTTGGTTGGAAAAACCAACACCAATCTGCAGTGTTTGGTTGACTGGCCATTGGACACGAAGGAGAAATCACCCATGGGCTTGGGGCCATGACCAGGGGGAGGTCCAACCTGGCCACCGCTGGGTGCTTTGGGCAAAATGCCCACGGTTTCTCCCCCAAAACACGATCTTGGGGGTCTGGGATTCACTCCTGTGGGTGCTGCCACGTCTCCACCGGCCATGCCTTAGAGATGATGGTGTTCTTGCAGGATCTCGGAGCACTGAAGATCCCGGAGCAGTACCGTATGATCATCTGGAGGGGTCTGCAGGAGCTGAAGCAGAGCCACGACTACGGGGGGCAGCAGCTCCTACGCTCCAGCAGCAACGCCTCCACCATCTCCATCGGCAGCTCGGGGGAGCTGCAGCGGCAGCGGGTGATGGAGGCCGTCCACTTCCGCGTGCGCCACACCATCACCATCCCCAACCGCGGCGCCCCCGACGACTGGGCGGACTTTGGCTTCGACCTCCCGGACTGCAAATCCCGCAAACAGTCCATCAAGGAGGAGTTCACGGAGGGGGAGATCAACTGAGAGCTCCTGGAGGCGGGGGGGTCTCCAGGCGGCGGCAGCAGCAGCAGCAGCGAGGGACGCGGAGGTTGAGGGGGTGGAGATGAAACCCACCCACTCCCCCACCACCATGAAAAATATTTTCAGGCTTGGGGGTGGCTGGAAAAGTGTAATTTTGTTGTCTGGAGGGGAGTTGTGAGAGTGAGAGGAAGCTGAGCCACATCAAGGAGGACATGGTGGTGGCTTCAGTGGAGCTGAGGGGACAGAGGGCGGCCATGACGGGGGGGGGACCCGCTGGAGCTTCACGTTGGCTTGGGTTTTCACTGATGGACAATCCCCACAGCCAAAGGACACGATGTAAAGACGTTTTCCTCTCAGCAAGACCAGCCTTTGTCACTGCTTCTGTGCTCTCCGTGGTGTCCAGACCCCATGAGGCTCCGTCGCTCCCCAGGACTCGGCCCGTCCCGGCTCCGCAGAGACAGGGCCGGGGGCTGCCACACACCCCCCTCCCCAGGGACTGCCAAAAAAAACACCCCCTTCCTTCTTCGTAGAGCAGAACAGAACCCCTTTGTCAGTCCCCGACGCGTCCACGTACTTAAATATTTGTGTATATAAACAGAAGCAAATGTACATACAGTGTACTCATCGTGCTGTAAGGAGAAAAAAAAAGAAAAAAAAAGATTTATTTTCATGTAAACTATAAAAATTGATACTTACTCCTGAGACACCAGAGTGTCAAGTAAATTAATTTCATGTTCTAGCATGTAAACATGCAGAAAATCGTGTCTCCAGCCTTATCTATTCAAAATTCCATTATTTTTTTTCCTCCTGGGAATACCTTTCCTGCAGTTGGGGAGCCTGTGAATCCTCCCGGGAAGGCAGAGGTGGGGATGAGGGGGCACAGACAGGCCGGGCTGGTCAGCAGGAGCAGGGGAGGTGACAATCTGATGCCACCTTGGAGCCAGGAGGTGGACACGGGGAGCTCCATCTCCCCCCGTGAGCTCTCTCTGGTTGTGTTTGCTGTTTCTGGTCATTCTGGTGTGATTTCTCTGTTGATTCAGGCTGGAAAAAAACCCCTCTGTAGAAAGGAAGGGCAGAGGCAGGTGTGTTCCCTCCCTCCCCTGCTCCTGACTCCACACCTGGGGAGGTGACATCCCACAATATGTCCCCCCAAAGGTCTGTCAGGGAGAGGGGCAGGAGCTGCTCCTTCTGCCCCCTCAGCCCAGGGTGGCTCCAGATCCCAGGCAGCCTGAGGGAATCCATGGAGGAACAACCTCCCCAGAACCTCCTGCATCTCCTCCCGGCACTGCCCCTGCCATGGAGACCTCCAGAGGACAGGGCTTCAGCTATTGCAGCCTGGAGAAAAGAGGGGTGAGGGGAGACCCCACCGCTCTCTACAGCCCCCTGGAAGGAGGGTGTAGCCAGGGGGGGTCGGTTTCTTTTCCCAAGGAACAGGCGATGGGACAAGAGGAAATGGCCTCAAGTTGTGCCAGGGGAGGTTTAGGATGGATATTGGGAAAAATTTCTCCACCAAAAGGGCTGTGAAGCCTTGGAATGGGCTGCCCAGGGCAGTGGTGGAGCCACCATCCCTGGAGGGATTTCAAAGCCGGGCAGACGTGGTGCTGAGGGACATGGGTCAGTGGTGGGTTGGTCAGTGCTGGGTTGGACCGATGGTCCGAAAGGTCCTTTCCAACCCAGACGTTTCTGTGATTCTATTTCCCATCTGCCTTGGGCTGGGGAAGGAGCTGGGAGACCCCTGGGGGACCCTCAAACCAGTAGAGCCAAAGAGTCCCAACGATGACATTCAGGGCTCACCTGGGAGATGTGCCTTCTCCCTCTTCAGGCCGGTGTTGGAGGATCCATAGGTGCCCCAGGGCCAGGTCCTCCCTCTGCCACCCTCCTCTTGGTGCCCAGGAGCAACTCTGAGCCTGGGGGGAGCAGGGGGTGGCCTCTCCCCCCAGTGACAGGAGCCACCGGTGCCAGCACAGCCTCCTCCAGGTCATTCTGTCCCCCCACAGCACCCACGGGGACCCCAACTCCCTCGGGCTGCTCAACTGTGAACCTGTGTCCTGTGATAACGGCTAATTAAACGGCTAATTAAAGCACTTTGATGCTTTAAAGGTTTTGAAACAACCATTCACGGTCTCCTCCTTAACCAGGAGCACTGATGCTCTCCAACACGCTACGAGTGGTGGTTTTTATAATGTTATCTTTGGAAAATGTGTTATTTTTATAGCTGTGGTTTCTATTTTTTTTCCCCTCCTGTAACACAATAAAATCCCAGCACCTGGCAATGAAAGTCTTGCTTATCTTGCAGGGAAAGTGCCCTCCTGTCCCAGCCTCAAAGCCTAAAACCTCAAAGGGCCTGGACTCCCTTTGCTCCATCGAGCAACCACGAAGGTAGAGACTGAAAACAGAGAAGGAAATAGATAGCAATCTTTATCTCTAAGACAAAGGTTTTCTGAGTTCCAAAAATTACACCGTTAAAAACAATTTCCATGAGAGAACTCTCTTCAGTTATAAACACCACTGCTATTTCTAGCTTTTGTCCTATATTATTGCATATGTAGGAACTGGAAATTGATTGAACTAAAGAGTCTTGTGAGAAGTGTCGTTTACAGACTAACACTCAAGGCAAGAACGTTATTTTAATACAATTAAAAAAAAAAAAGCTTTCAACTACCTTGAAAACTGGCACGTGAGAGACAAGAGCAGTGAAATCTGCCCGTCTGCACCTGCCCAACAATAAAAAGGTACAAAGAACCTGGTTAAAAGCAGACTTGCCTGTTGTAGAAGGCACTATCTTTTCCTGTGGTGTGTATCCCACACCTGCTGGACTGCAGAAAAGAAAATTACCTTTAAAATCCATCATCGGATGCTCTTCCTACACTCAGAGAACGTGATTATTAATTCAATTTTGCTACTAAAATGTTAACATACAACGTTGGTATTTAAGCAAGGAAAGGAACAGCCTCCTGACAGCTACTGAAGGACCTGCCTGGTGGCTGCCTGTCTCAGGAACAGATCCTGCACAAACTCACTGCTCACACTGGGAAAAGCTCCTTCACAAGGCAGTGTTCACTGCTGGAACACCCCAGCGTGTTGCTCCTCCACGGAACAGCCTTAATTTATAGCCTCACTAGGAAATCTCTCCTCCCTCTAACGTCAGGGCTCCCCCTCTGCCTCCTCATTTCCCCACAACTCAAGAAAACGAGAGCAGAACTTCTGGTGAAAAAGATTTAGAAAACCTGGTAAAAAAAACAAACAATAAATAGGAGGCAGGTTCAGCAGAGAAGTCACATTCCTGCCTGTACTGAGGGGAAATGAGCACGGACCAGAGGGATGCTCCTGGGGTTTTTTGGAGCATCACATCTCACCTGCAGAGCTGTCAGGAAAGCCACCTGCCTGCCCTGCTCCCATCACGGCTGGTGATGGTCTGACACCACCTCACCATGTCTGTAAGAACATCACTCTTCTCCCAGGAAAATGGAGCTGCAGAGCCCTCCAGGGCTGGATGAAACCACCCCAAATTTCTCGAGGGCTCTGGCTGAGGCACTAAGAAACACCCACAGCCCCAGCGCTTCCTGGCTCAAAACGCCTCCATCTTCTGGGCATTCCCAGCAGAAAGGTCCAAACCCCAAGTCGATAAGACTCTTCCCCAGGTGGGAAGAGCTCACTGGAGCACAAGGTTGTCCTTCACCTCAGGAGACAGCAGCAACGTGTCACAGGATCTCAGTCTTGATGACAGCCGAGTCTATGGCTTCGTTGCGCAGGTCAACAGCAGACCCGTTCCTCCAGGACTGCTCCGCAGCTGCAGCCACCTGGATGGTCCAGAGAAACTGCTCTTTGGTTACCACGGGGGGTTCCGTGCCTGCAGGGACAGGAACAAAGCACTGGATGAAACATGGGGTTCATCTCTGCACATCACTGCCCACCACGGCGTCCCCCTTCAGCTCCCAGACCTCACAGAGGGGTGTCAGAGTTTAAAAAGAAAGATTCATCCTCCTTTTCTTTCCTGTGACTAAAATCCTGTATTTCTGCCAATGCAGCCAGCAGGATAGAAATATTTTCACTCCTTCTGGGCAGCCAGGCCTTGAGATGAGGGTCTCCTTGCTGTTAGAAATGGCTGCTTTCCCCACAAATCCCACTAAAGCCCAACATAATTTTTCCTCCCAATTTTCTTCTCGGAACACAGTTTCAGATGGACAATTCCAAGCCTCACCCGTCTCACTGAGGTGAAAATGAGAGCAGCAGCACACCCTGCAAAGCCCAGTCCTTCCTTTCCATCTGTCCTTCTGTCCTTCTGTTCCTTCTGTTTCCATCTGTCCTTCCTTTCCATCTCAGCTGTTGGCACGGCCACGGAAGGACCGGCTCCAGCGGGGGGCTGAGGGCTCCACACGGGGTTTCACCCCCCTGCAGGCACCATCCTGCTCCTCCAGCACCCACTGAGGACATTGGTGCTTCTCAGCCCACGAAACCCCACGTCTGCTTATGGGGAGCTCCCTCACCACCTTCTCATCACAGCCTTAAATTTAACCACGGTGAACCTCAGCCCTAGCTTTCCACCTACTCGTTTCTTTTTGGGGTTTCACAAACCAAGACCAAACTGCAATTGCTGTTGGAGCAGCTCCCGAGGGAAGTTTTCACTGAAAGCACCACCAGGGATTAGTGTCAGCTCCCTCCTACCTTTCAGGGTTCGCAGGAAGTGTCGGAAGAGCTCCCTGTGTGCCTCTCTGTAGCGGTCAGCTTGGGTCTGGGAGTAGATGGGGACCGAGGTCCCCTGCTCCGAAATCCCCAGAGGATTCCGATTATCCACCCGTAACGTCCCTTGAGAACCATGAACCTGCAGGGAGGCAGCAGGTGGGAGAGAGAACAATGTTTTTAGGTTATCAGGCTTTTGATCCTAAACACCTGGCTGCTCTACAGAAGCCCTGGGTTGGACTCAGAGAACGTGATTATTAGTTCAATTTTGCTACTAAAATGTTAACATACAACGTTGGCATTTAAGCAAGGAAAGGAACAGCCTCCTGACAGCTACTGAACGACCTGCCCAGCAGCTGCCTGTCTCAGGAACAGACCCTGTACAGGGTCCTGCACAAAATCCCAGCTCACACTGGGAAAAGCTCCTTCACAAGGCAGTGTTCACTGCTGGAACACCCCAGCGTGTTGCTCCTCCACGGAACAGCCTTAATTTATAGCCTCACTAGGAAATCTCTCCTCCCTCTAACGTCAGGGCTCCCCCTCTGCCTCCTCATTTCCCCACAACTCAAGAAAACGAGAGCAGAACTTCTGGTGAAAAAGATTTAGAAAACCTGGTAAAAAAAACAAACAATAAATAGGAGGCAGGTTCAGCAGAGAAGTCACATTCCTGCCTGTACTGAGGGGAAATGAGCACGGACCAGAGGGATGCTCCTGGGGTTTTTTGGAGCATCACATCTCACCTGCAGAGCTGTCAGGAAAGCCACCTGCCTGCCCTGCTCCCATCACGGCTGGTGATGGTCTGACACCACCTCACCATGTCTGTAAGAACATCACTCTTCTCCCAGGAAAATGGAGCTGCAGAGCCCTCCAGGGCTGGATGAAACCACCCCAAATTTCTCGAGGGCTCTGGCTGAGGCACTAAGAAACACCCACAGCCCCAGCGCTTCCTGGCTCAAAACGCCTCCATCTTCTGGGCATTCCCAGCAGAAAGGTCCAAACCCCAAGTCGATAAGACTCTTCCCCAGGTGGGAAGAGCTCACTGGAGCACAAGGTTGTCCTTCACCTCAGGAGACAGCAGCAACGTGTCACAGGATCTCAGTCTTGATGACAGCCGAGTCTATGGCTTCGTTGCGCAAGTCAACAGCAGACCCGTTCCTCCAGGACTGCTCCGCAGCTGCAGCCACCTGGATGGTCCAGAGAAACTGCTCTTTGGTTACCACGGGGGGTTCCGTGCCTGCAGGGACAGGAACAAAGCACTGGATGAAACATGGGGTTCATCTCTGCACATCACTGCCCACCACGGCGTCCCCCTTCAGCTCCCAGACCTCACAGAGGGGTGTCAGAGTTTAAAAAGAAAGATTCATCCTCCTTTTCTTTCCTGTGACTAAAATCCTGTATTTCTGCCAATGCAGCCAGCAGGATAGAAATATTTTCACTCCTTCTGGGCAGCCAGGCCTTGAGATGAGGGTCTCCTTGCTGTTAGAAATGGCTGCTTTCCCCACAAATCCCACTAAAGCCCAACATAATTTTTCCTCCCAATTTTCTTCTCGGAACACAGTTTCAGATGGACAATTCCAAGCCTCACCTGTCTCACTGAGGTGAAAATAAGAGAAGCAGCACACCCTGCAAATCCCAGTCCTTCCTTCCTTTCCATCTACTCAGCTGTTGGCACAGCCACGGAAGGACCAGCTCCGGTGGGGGCTGAGGGCTCCACATGGGGTTTCACCCCCGCCCCTGCAGGCACCATCCTTCTCCTCCAGCACCCACCAAGGACACCAGTGCTTCTCAGCCCACGAAACCCCACGTCTGCTTACGGGGAGCTCGCTCACCACCTTCTCATCACAGCCTTAAACTTAACCACGGTGAACCTCAGCCATAGCTTTCCACCTACTCCTTTCTTTTTGGGGTTTCACAAACCAAGACCAAACTGCAATTGCTGTTGGAGCAGCTCCCGAGGGAAGTTTTCACTGAAAGCACCACCAGGGATTAGTGTCAGCTCCCTCCTACCTTTCAGGGTTCGCAGGAAGTGTCGGAAGAGCTCCCTGTGTGCCTCTCTGTAGCGGTCAGCTTGGGTCTGGGAGTAGATGGGGACCGAGGTCCCCTGCTCCGAAATCCCCAGAGGATTCCGATTATCCACCCGTAACGTCCCTTGAGAACCATGAACCTGCAGGGAGGCAGCAGGTGGGAGAGAGAACAATGTTTTTAGGTTATCAGGCTTTTGATCCTAAACACCTGGCTGCTCTACAGAAGCCCTGGGTTGGACAATCCAGAAAAGAGTAGCTTTTAAAATGAGGAGTTACACCAGCACAGCCTCTCCTATGGGTCAGACACGACAGAAAACATCAGCTACGTGTTGCACTACAGCAGCTTCCACTTTTGTGATACCTCCACTTTGATTTCTCCACCTGAGCAAAGCTCCTTTGTTAAGTATTTAACTGCTCTGACTCCCCAAATCCAGCCCACGCATCTGTTATAATTCATGACTTTAGGAATTGACAGGCAATTTGCCTCTGAGTTTACATTTTTCTTCCCTTTTCATACCCTTAACCCTTGGCTTGGCCATAGACCTAAAAACACCCTACAAAGACAATAAATGAACTGTGTGACAACATTTCAGCCAACGCCTGCTGCAGTGTGACTGCACACAGCTTAAACCCCCAACAGAATGCCTGTAAACAGAGCAAAATTGGGATAACAAGAGAGATTGGGGGTAGTGGATTAAACAAACACAAGGAATCCATTTCTGCCAAGGCGCAGGGGTGCTTGTGAAACGTGCTCACAGGCGTGTTGCACAGGGCACAAGAGGCATGGTGCCAGGTGAACACACGCAGGGGGAGGCTTGTGCTGGACTGTGGGACTGTGACAGCCTGGACTGAGAAGCAGGAAGGCACCTCTAGTCTCTGGTCACAGCTCCTGGTGCAGTGCTGGCTGACGTCCAAAGTGACGATGGCTCCGCTGGGAAACTTCATGCTGATGGCTACCGTGTCTGCATCCTTCAAGCAGGCCATGTCTGAGGGACAAAAACAGGCACCCGCTCACCCCAGGAACAGCAAAACTTCAAGTACTACGACTCAAAAGGGCTCTTCTTCCTCCAAGAGGCCACGCTGGCTCTACAACACCTTCAAACAGGAAGCATCAGGGACAACAAAGCGCTTTCTGCCACGCAGGGCAGCTGGTTGCCTTCACCAGCACTTCTGATGGGGAACACCAGCCCCTGAGCCCGAGCTGCCCCCCTTCTTCCACCCACCACATCTCCCAGTGCAGCCCATTATAACCAGCAGGCAGCTGGAGGGAGGCAGATGGTACAAAACCCACCCTGGGGTGCTGTGTTTGTTGCATTTCAGTGTTTCACCGCAGATCGCGGCGCTGCACCCTCCGCCTCCTGACAGCGCCCAGCCAAGGCTGGCAGCAGCTGCAATTACCTTAATTAAAACTTTGCAATTTCCATTTGAAAAATAGCAGCTTCTGGTAACCCAGAGTGTGCCCATCAGCTTCGTGCAACCCAGAGTGAATTCCCATCTTTAACTGTGCCCAGATGACCAGGAAAGTGCCAGAGAAAGCAAAGAACTGGAAGAGACTGCACTGACTCTGGCTCCTTATTTTCTGTGCTCTGCTTTTCACGTGGCAAACTGGATATCCCTCCGTTGCCACACAGAGTAGAGTTCAGCCATACTTCTTAAAGCAACTGCTTCACATCAGCAGGGAACTGGCAAAATTCAGAAATCACCCCTAAACACCCAAAACAACTTCTTGGAAAACTTGCCTTCTATTTCGCTAGACTATTTTTACAACTGTTCGATGGCAGAACAATTATGTCACGGCTACCCATGCTCTCATACACTCCTTCTTCCCAATTTTAGCCCTGAAGTCCAGAGATACTCAGTAAACTATCAAAAAACTTAATTCTTACCTGCACAGAATGCGTGGCCCAGTGAAAATATTGTATCTGGTGCACTCTCTCCCAACAACAAACTGACAATATCGATATCGTGCACGGCAGCGTTATAAAAAATTCCACCTGGAAGAAGCAAAACTGGGCATGAAGGTCTCCATGTTTAAAAACCACAGTCACTGTACATTTCTGAACAGCACTGAGATTCATATGAAAAGCCCCCTACATCAAAGAAACTCATACTAAAAGCAAACAGAAAAATGTGACAAAAATAAAGAATGGTAAAGAAAATGCTCCTCAGAAGAAAACCCCATCAGCTTAAGGCCACACAAACACAGTGGACTTTCACTGAATTTCACTGAATTTTAGAGTTGGAAGGGACCATAGAGATCATCCAGTCCAACTCCCCTGCTGAAGCAGGACCACCCAGAGCTTGGCAAGAGCATGTTACTCAGGAGCATCCAGGTGGGGCTTGAAGATCTCCAGAGAAGGGGACTCCACAACCTCCCTGGGCAGCCTCTTCCAGGGCTCTGCCACCCTCACTGTGAAGAAGTTTTTTCTCATATTTGAGTGGAACCTCTTATGTTCCAACTTGTGCCCGTTGCCCCTCGTCCTCTCACTGGCAACCACTGAAAAGAGTCTGGCTCCCTCCTCCTTCAACCCACCCTTGAGATACTTGTCAGCATTGATAAGGTCTCCCCTCAGCCTTCTCTTCTCCAGACTAACGAGTCCCAGCTCTCTCAGTCTCTCCTCATAAGGGAGATGCTCCAATCCTTGAATCCTTTCCACTAGAACATAGGGCAAGATACATTTCCAGTTCCATTTTCCAGTTTGAGAAGGAAGTTTCCAGCAGGAAGTACCTGCTGTTTTGAGGAAGCCCAGAGGTGCTGCTGGGTAGACGCTGCTGGTGGTCGATATGCGGTGGATCCTCCCCAGCGCCCGGCTGTCGCGGACTTTCTTGCACAAGAACTGCAGAGAGGGGTCAAAGCGCCTTGGGAGAGAGAGAGGGGGGGGCTCTGTTCAGTATTTGGAAGAGGGGGAGGTCACCCCAGCCCCCTCTACCACCGTGGTGTGACCCCCAGCGACGGCAGCCAGCGGTGAGAATGGGAGAGGAACCTCACCGGACAGGCTGGGTCAGACACAGCTTTATAAATTCTTATTTTGTATGAATTTGGCTTCTTGCAACCAAGTCTCAGATCAGCACTTGGGAAGACTTAAGGTAACAAATTTACTGAATTTCACTGAATTTTAGAGTTGGAAGGGACCATAGAGATCATCTAGTCCAACTCCCCTGCTGAAGCAGGACCACCCAGAGCTTGTCAGAGCATGTTACTCAGGAGCATCCAGGTGGGGCTTGAAAATCTCCAGAGAAGGGGACTCTACAACCTTCCTGGGCAGCCTGTTCCAGGGCTCTGCCACCCTCACTGTGAAGAAGTTTTTCTTCATATTCAAGCGGAACCCTTTATGCTCCAACTTGTGCCCGTTGCCCCTCGTCCTGTCACTGGCAACCACTGAAAAGAGTCTGGCTCCCTCCTCCTTCAACCCACCCTTGAGATACTTGTCAGCATTGATAAGGTCTCCCCTCAGCCTTCTCTTCTCCAGACTAAAGAGTCCCAGCTCTCTCAGTCTCTCCTCATAAGGGAGATGCTCCAGTCCTTGAAATTTAATGAAGAAATTGCAAAACCTCCAAAGGGCTGCAGAGATGTGGACCCCAACTGCCCTGGGCCATTCTAAAAAACCTCAGAGCTTTCACATCTTGAAAGCTTCATCCTTTGAGTTCCACTACATCCATTCAAGTGGGCATTTATTTTAAATCTCATGACAGCTAGATTTTATCTCCATGAAGCATGAAGAATTAATCCAACACAATTAACTCCCAGATGAACAATGTTAACAAGCAGCAGCGAAACTAAGTTTATTTGAGGACAAATTCAGGAAAGCCTGAGGAGCCAACGCTACTTTCAGACACGTGCTTCTTATCGAGTATAAATGAAAAGAAAAATGCTGGTCTTACTTGTAGAATCCACACACCAACGGTCTTCCACATCTGTCAGCTTCATCGAAACAAGCTTCCGCCGTCCGCCTGTCAAAACTGGGCAGCCTCTCACAAAACACACCTTTTCCTGTGCAAAATGGAAGAGAGAACAGGACTGAAGGCAAAACACAGTCTGTACAAAATCCCTCTTTCCTGCAGTAACATACAGACGGCATCATCACAGTCTAGAAATCACGTTTGATGAAACCACAGCATGGCTTTGTGTTTGCCGATGCCACGAACTCTCCTTTGGCCCCCAAATGTGGTTTCACTAGCTGGTGACAGACCCCAAAAAGTGCCACTGCTTTGACACTCAGCTTTGCTTTGAGCCTTACTGGTATTTTTGAGGACCAGACACTCCGCACGGCTGTACTGGGACCAGCACACAACAAACTCCATTGGTGTTAAGCCATTAACATCAGTGGACTCATTTCTCTTTAATCATACAATTAGATAGTCTGCAGAGCCCCAGGGACACTGCTGAAAGGAGAAAGCATTCACATTTAAAGCGCTGAGCAAGGACATAAGCTCTGCCTCAATGTGTGCTACTGACTACAGACAGAAGCTGGGTTTGCAGCCATTCCTCTTACCTGCTCGTAGAGCATCTATTACAACCTCGGAGGCTTCTTCAGGTGGTGAACAAATAATGGCTCCAGAGACCCTGCAGGAACCAAAAGAGAGACCTTCAGTGAAGACAGGGCTTTCACCAGCTCCTTTCAGTTAGAGTTATAATTGCTGCCTTAAACGTGGAGGAAGAGTTTAAAAAAAGACATAAAATGCCATTGCTCTGGAAGAGCACGTTCTGTTATAAAAGGAACTCAGTACCTGTTTGCAAGGCTGAAATACGGGGTGAAAAATCACAAGTGGCACCATGGAATTGCATTGCTTTTCCTGCATCTTAAAGGAAAAAATCTTTCAAAGGTGTCTTTTGAAAGCAAGTTAAATCCTGTGAGTTAATGCATAGAGTGGAATTGAAAGTATTTATGCGGCAGAGCTGCTGCACAAGTGATGGGTACATCTCTGCTTATTATCATTCTTGTTTCTAATATCAAATCCATCTTTCTTACCAGCTGCCTTTCACTTCTGCAATGATATTTAAAACACCGTTCTGAGAACTGACAGTAACCACATCACTAGATGTTACGTGTTCAGTTCAACTGTAAAGCAAAACACCACAATCTCTGCTGTTTACAGCAACCCTCCCTTATCTCAAAGCTACAACACAGCCTCCTCTGTAACCAAACCTGCAGGCAGCAGGAACCAGCAACCCTCGCTTATCTCAAAGCTACAACACACCCCCTCTGTAACCAAACCTGCAGGCAGCAGGAAGGCGTGCTGTTTATTGCTCTATGGGAATGGAGGAAAATATTTTTTATATTTCTCAACAAAGCAACTAAACTCCTCAAAGATATTTCTTATATTTCTCAACAAAGCAACTAAACTCCTCTGAGTTTCCATCGCTTCTGAGCCAAGCTAAGCTCCCCAGGGATTTCTGAAGCACCTGTGACACCCTACGTAAGGTTTAGCCCCCAGCAGCCCCTCAGTCTTAGAATCATAGAATCATTCAGGTTGGAAGAGACCCTTGGGATCATCGAGTCCAACCATCTCCCCTACTCTACAAAGTCCTCTCCTACACCATGTCCCTCAGCACTGCATCTAAACGTCCCTTAAACACAGCCAGGGATGGGGACTCCACCACCTCCCTGGGCAGCCTGTTCCAATGCCCGACCACTCTTTCTTGCTCCATTCCCACACGTGGGGCAGGACAAGCACGGTCGGGGTCCCCGGGGGCACAGTGGGATTATCTGGAGGGGGGAAGCAAGGCTGGTGGCAGGGAAGGAGCACGCACAGGAGCTAGCGGCGGACAGTACCGCTGATCGTTGAGCGCGATATCGGCGTCCCGCTGCCGCAGCACCCTGGTGCCAGCCAGGAACTCGGCGCCGAAGGCACATTCCACCTCCTCCAGCTGATCCTCCACGACATAGAGCAGGCGGCAGCCGTTCTCCTCCATCAGGGTTTGAAACAAGGCTTTATTAACGAGCCCGATGCCAAAGAGGGCGAGGCCGACGCCGCTGCCGTGCCGTACGGCGGGTGCCGGGCTGTCAGAGGCCTCAGGGGCAGCCCCTCTTTGGGCAGCCTGCTTCGAGGGGGCAGGAGCGATCCTCATGTGGAAGGGGGCAGGCGCCGAGGGGCGGCTGGCGGAGGTGGAGGGCGTCGGGTCTTCCTGGGGGGTGCCAGCGACGACGGGGTGGTGGGCAACCAAGGGCTTGTGGTAGGAGGGTGGCGAGGGGACGATGGCGCTGGTGCCGGCGAGGATGAAGGAGGGCTGGGAGAGCAGGGAGGGCGCGTCGAGCTGCAGGGGGAGGCCGCCACCGCCGTCCGCACCTGCAGAGCTGGGCGAGAGAGAGGGACGGGGTGAGCCACCACCGCCGCCGCCGCCGCTCCCCCGCGCCCGGAGAGGGTCCCGCGGGGCGGGGGGGGACACCCTCCCGCGGCTCCACCACCGGCGGGACCGGGCACTCACAGGAGGAGCGGGGCCCGCAGGCCGTGCTGCCGGAGGAGGCGGCGGTTGCGGTAGTGGCGACCGGAGGAGAGATGCTCGAGGATGCGGTCGCGGCGGACCCGCATGGGCAGCTGGCAGGAGGTGCAGTACAGCGTCTCCACCACCACCGCAGCCTCCCCGCCGCCACCACCGCGCTCCAGGAGGTGCCGTTTCACCGCCAGCTCCGAGAACTCGGCCGCGTAGTCGTGAAGCGTCTTCTTCTTCCGCCCCATGGCGGCGGCCCGGCCCGCCCCGGAAGCGGAAGTAAAGGCGCGGTCCCGCCCCCTCACCCCGCCCGCTGTTGCCTGGCAACCGGATGCGGCCCGGCCCGGTTCCCCGCCGCGCCGGGCCCCGCGTCTGACAGCGCCGGGAGAGGGGAGGAACCGTGTCCCCCTCCACCCCTGGGAGGACACCGCCAACTCCCCTCTCTCCACGGGAGCCCCGGTCCCTCTCCATGGAAGGAGCGAGCCCGGACGCGGCGGCCCCCGGGGTCCCGCAGGAGGCAGGGGTCGGCGAGGGGCAGAGCGCCGGCCCAGATCTCCGAGAGGAGCTGCAGAAGGCAAAGCACGACTACAGCATGGCCACAGGTACCTGTGCTAGAAACGTGTCGTTATTCGAGTTCATCTTCTGCCGTCCTGCTCTTTTTACTGAGAGAAAAATGGAGGTTGGGGTCTGGCGAGGGCAAAGCCCGCTCTCCATTGCTGCTGGCAGAGTTTGGGGGAAAGGCTGCTTGTTTTGAAAACACTTTCCCCCTCTCCCCTTCGAATTGAGGGGCAGGGGAAGCCCTGAGCAGCATCACACACCCCCACTTTAGTGCTTCCTATCAGGCCCTGTGGGTCCCCCCGCAGCTCCTACCTCACCCAGCGCAGTTCAGTGCAACACCCATCACAGCAAAACACTACAAAAGGCATTATCAACCACCATCACTGCAGCTGCAGCGTTAATATCACCCAGGGCCTACACTGGGACAGGTATAACAGCAGCTCTGCTCAGGCTTTACCTCAAAAAGGAGGTAAAGCTCAGGGTTTACCTCAAAAATTCGGCAGGGATCGGCTTTGCTTAAACGCTTGTACTCCCCAACTTCCCAGGTACCATCTCTTCTTTGCAAAGACAACTGGAGTTCCAAGAATCCCAGCTGAGGAGGATCAAATCTGAAAAGGAAATGCTCCAAAAGAAGCTCAGAGAGCAGGAAAATCAGCTACAAGCCATGGCTACCAAGGTACCGCCCCGAGGTGGCCATCCTCGTTCGGAGCTGGCAGCGGGGAATTCGGGCTCTGTGCACCAATTCCCCTCCTCACAGACAGGAGCTGCACCTCTCAACTGCAAAACTCAAGTGTCACGTATTTTCTGGGGAATTCGGGCTCTCTGTTCCCCTCCTCACACACAGGAGCTGCACCTCTCAACTGCAAAACTCAAGTGTCACGTATTTTCTCCTAAGATTTGCAATCTGAGAGACGAATGGAAACACGACGAAATGATGATGGCCACAGAGGAAGAGAACGGCAGGCTTCGACAGGTAAATTTGCCACAAAGCCACTATAGAAAATCCCACTTTCAGCTGCTTGGTTGTGCTTGGTTTAGATTTGGGCCAGTTTGCCACATTAAAAAAAAACCCCAATCCTATTCAATCCAGAAATTTAAGAGAAAATGCCAAGTAATAATAGTTACCAGTACTGCAGGGCTGTTAGTCTGTAGGCTCTGCCCAGGAAATACGAGGAGTGTTTGGACCAGATACTGGGAAGATGCATCTGAGCCAGCTTGCTTCCTTCCTCGCTAGAATGGTTGGATTTCTGGATCTCCCCAGGTTGTCAGAGAACAGGAATCCAAGCTGGCAGAGCAGAACCAGCTGCTCAGTGAGTTACAGGAGACCATCAGCCAGCTTCGGGCTGAGGCCCTCAGCAGCCGGCGCCGCATCCGGGAGCAGCAACAGGCGCAGGAGGAGATCCAGAGCCAAGTGCAGACACTGCAGCACCGGGAGCTGCAAACCAGAGTGACCCTTGAACGCATCACCAGCAGAGTAAGTACAGCCTCCCTCCCTTCTCCTGCCTCCCTCCTGGGAGATGCTTCAGCCATTTCACACAGAGAATCTGAAAGCTCAGAGAGGTTCTTGGGGCGGGAGATGCACCAGGGCACTGCAGTCCTTTGTTCTCAGGGCCTGGATTCCCTTCGTAGCCACGGGGCCAGAGGAGCAGGGAACTCAGTCCATTTGCTTCCCAGCTTTTTAGCATGCTCCTATGTCACTGACAAAGCAAACAGGCCCTAAATCATAGAATAGAATAATAGAATTGTCTAGGTTAGAAGGGACCTTTAAGATCGAGTCTAACCATCAACATAACTGATAAAACCCATCACTAAACCATGTCCCAAAGCACTATGCCAACCCCTCTTTTGAACACCTCCAGGGATGGTGCCTCAACCACCTCCCTGGGCAGCCCATTCCAATGGCTGAGAACCCTTTCAGTGAAAAAATTGTTCCTAATATCCGATCTGAACCTCCCCTGGCGCAACTTGAGGCCATTAAATACCAGAAGCCCTTGAGAAACTCAAGTTAACACAACAGCTACATCTCCGGATTTCTAATATCCTTCCAGACTCAAAGTCACAGATACCACCTTAGAGCCATGTCCCACAGGTGTGTGTGCCTGGTAGCAAGCACAGAGCCCAATACCTGGGTAAGGAGCTTAACCCACCCAGAAACACATCATTACCCCAGTACTTGCAGTGAATCCCAGTCAAACTGCCCGTCCCTGCACACAAAGAGACCTTCCATTTCACCCTTCACTGGTTCTTTGTCCAAATCTGACAGCACAGTCTCTATAAATCCATGCAAATGCCGAAGAATTGTGTAAAAAGACTAAAACTACCTATTTCTTTCCTCTTTTATCAAAAGTTTGAGAGATACCGAAGCAAAATCATCCAGGCTACGTTCAGTGTGGCAGGCAGCAAGCCTCCCCAGGCCGAGGTGACGGACGAGGAGGTGCTGGAGGCAATGCAGGTACGTGGCTCTTTCTGGCTCTGCTTCCAGCAAGGGCAAGGGATGGAGGAGGTGAGAGACCACCCTGAGGTGCTGCCGTCCACCTAATGCTTTCCACCCCTTTCCACATCCCTCGTTTTCAGAAAATCATTAACGAATGGACAGAGCTCCACCAGCTGCTGAAACAGAAAGGCATCAAGGTCCCATCACTCCACAGCATCGACACATTGACTTCGTCGCCTGCCAGCACTAAGGGGAGGAGGAAGAGTCCCATGAGGTAGCTTTCACCACCCAAAAAACAGCAATAATGGCAGAGCCAAACACGTCACCAACCTCAGGCTCCCGTTCCTTGGGTTGCAGACGGTGACATTACTAATACATTGAACTAATTTTACTAAAATCAAGTGCTGCAGGAATATATAATTCAATTGTTTAAACCCTCTCAGAGCACAATTCACTGTAAATCACTGGTCTGTAGATATACTCAACTTCACAGGGAAGCTTGAAGCACTACTAAGGACTTTTTGGCTGCAGGTAGCTAGAAAACATTAACTCACCATTTTTGCAGTACACAATAGCTGCTGTGCCAAGTTTGTATGATTACTCGACTGGAAAATTCACCAAGGTCTGAAACAAGTGACAGTGACATACGACGGCAAGAACTGTTTTATTTTTCCATTCAATATGCAAGGCCCAAGACGTGGATGTATTTGACACGGTATCTGGAAGGTCAGTTAGAGCTCTGTAGAATTTTTAACAGAAAAAAGCCAATCTGCAGGTCACCTCTGCTCACAGGGAGCTTTGCATCCACACAGGTAGCAGCCCCGATGTAAAAGCCACCCAGAGACTGCAAGAAAGGGAGCTCTGGCAGTGTCGATGGAAGGCAGCATCAGCCTCTGAGCAGAACCAAACTTCACCAGCAAGAATAAATTCAGCCCTGGATGGACAGTGACCCTACGGGTGCACAACAAGGTCACCACACCCCGTATTTCCACCAGGATGGACAATAGCCCTAAAACCCACCGGGACACACAAACCCCTGCAGTCAATTCAACCGACTCCACTTAAAAACGGAAGCTGCGTTCATGCCTGAATACAGGAACCACCACTTCAAAACTCACTCCTCAAGTTCTGACAGCAACTAAAGTTTTCACGACTACTCCAGATAAAAAAGTGAAGTGGTGCAGGATGAGAAATGGGCGAAGCAGTTTTGCACTCTGTGCTCAGTACCGGTCCATGCAGCGCCTCGCTGAGTCTCAATGCTCTCCCCTACCAGATCCCTCAGTTTAGCTGCCAAAATAATAACCCCGCTGAAACACAGGAGGAAGAAACCATGATCTGGCAGGAGAATACCACTGCACTCCTTTTATAACCACTAAGATGGCAGAATAGTTTTCTCTACCAGTTTGTGCATTCTGACTTGTGATACCTTCTCCAAGTTTGCATTTGAAGACGCCGTTATCTACCGAGTCAGAACTCTGATGACTTCTTTCTACTTAAGGCTGGAAGAAGGCAATACTCCTCGCCGTAGCTGGATCAGACTTGGCAGTTTGTACACACCCAGGTGGGGCGTGCCGAATCTTTGCTTTAAAAAAACCCAGGACCACCTCACCACGTACCACTTGCATTGCTGAATATGGAAAAAAAAACAATTGAATGACTTTCTGAGCTTTGACAGCTGCTAACGTATTACAGTCAGAAGAGAGGAAACAGTGGTCAGGTCAGTTTTTGAAGGATAAAGTACTTTCAAGTTTCCATCTGTGTCCACCACTCGAACCTGCTCCACTACCAGTGGCTGCACGTTCTGGCTGGGGTTCAAATTCCCTGGTCCACTAAGAGTATCAGATTCGTTATCCGAGCCCGAGTCTTCCTTATTTTCCAAGGTAACTCTGTTCAGCTCTGCAATTTTCTGTTAAAATGAAAATACAGAAAACAAGATTAATTCTGCAGCTAAGCCCTCTGAGCAACTCCAAGTTGCTCCCAAGGTGTGGATCTGGCCAGGCTCTGGAGGAACCTCTGCATGAAAACATTCTTCAGCGGGTTACAATCTGGAAACAGAAAGGGCTTTTGATGTTCTCAACTCCTGGGCTCTCCAGGAGGTCCCACTCCTTCTGAGCAGTTTAATTTTTTTGCCCAAGTTCTGTATTAAAGCAGTGGATTCTGAGCAAAAGGAGCCTGCTGTAGGATCAGCACTGAGGAGTTTGCTTTTGGTCCATCTGAAACTGTCTCTGTTACCACTTTGTGTAACTACACAAATCAGTTACCCCTCACCTGTGTATTCTAAAGGGCAGGTTAACTGGACAAGATAAAATACACTTATATCTTGCAAAACACTGAACAGCTACTATCCTGTACTCACCTTACACCAAGTATTACCCCTCTCAGTACAGAAGCTTTTGTTAAATCACGTTGAACAGCATTTAATGAGACTGTCCTGCTGCTAATGAAGTATCTGAAAGATAATTCTGTACTCATGACAGGACCCAGCAAGCTAGTTTTTAGGCAGGCTGAGGTGAGGAACCTCCCTAAAAGAATCTATTGGCAGCACCACCTGAAGCCATAAGATCACTAACAAGGGGCAGGGCTGAAAGTCAAAGCACACATTTCCAGTTGTGGCAACACAACATTGTTTACCCTGGAGAGTTTTGAGGTCTGACAGTCGGGACACAAGAATGTAAAACCCTTCTGTGATACTGCAAGAATGGAATAGTAAGTGAAAGAGAGGGAATAATAACACTTCTAAAATAAAAACTTCTGTATTCTTCTCAAGATGTGTGAGCAATGAAAATTCTGTTAAGCAGCACAGCGAGAACAGGCAGGATTATTTAACTGAACTACTTACCAGAATTAGTGTGTCCATGACGTCTTTGCAGATCTGTAAACTGGTGTCGCTGGTCACTTCCAGAAACAGATCCCGGGTTTCTTTTCTGATCTGTAAGGATTTCACAGGTAAAGAGGTAAGGAATGTGATCACACTCATCCACAGTCACTCGGCAACACGGCCATACACAGAGCCAGTGACTGCCTGTGGTGGAACTGAACGAAAGCCTAAGTCCTGCCTTTCCCTACAAGTCAAAAACCAGATTCTTGCCCTTCAGAAAAGCTGTAGTGCCTTCCAAACAGCCTGCCAGAGCTGGACAGATTTCCAAGGGTAAAAATATAACTGCAAGGTCCATCAGGCCCTGACAGAGAAGATTCAGGCTTTGCAGATGTATAGTGGGAATGCAATCACACCTTTCACCAAACCGCGCGTATAAATATCTCTCAGCAGAAACACTGCTTAATCCTGATTAACTTATTTCCACCAACAGGCAGTATTACCTTTGTTTTCTCACTATTGGTTATTGGTGGGAAAGAAATCACAACGCCTTCGGCATCCACCAGGCAGGGGTAGTTATCTTTGCCATCCAGTAACTGGAGATACCTGCCAAGAGACACACAGCAGCAGCAAGTGAGCAACAGAAACCACAGCTGGACACGGTGGCAGAAAACAGTGACAAAAATGACTGTGTTCCTGAGCCACCAAGGAGTGAAAATGGTACCGTGGTGACAGAGCTGGGGAGAGCCACCATCTGCTGGAAATGATGGGCCAGAACCACAAAGTAACTCACGTTTTATTATCCCTGCTGCCAAAGTAGCTTCTGATCCCTTCAGAGGCCCCACTGCTCACACAGAAAAACCCACTGCCCGATTCCTCCAGATGGCTTAACTTCCCTCTGACTTACTGTGGTGATACCCAGCTCTGCCATCACGTACCTGGCACATTCCCCCAGCCATGTCAGTGAGGGATGTGGGTGGCGATCTCTGCCTGAGCAGTAAACCCTGCTTCAAACTTCATCTCTTCCCAAATCCAGACTTACTGCTCCTCAGATTTGCTCAGTTTACTGAACGTGCACAGCATACACTTCTTTCCTCTTTGTTTCCCTTCTGTTGGCTATTCTACAAATATTTGGCACCTCTAAGAATAATTTATAAGACAGTGATTTGCTCCTGATGCACCTAGAAACAACGGAAGGCTCTCATCATCCTTGTTTCACTCCAGGTCACTCTTTGTGCAGAAGTCCAGCTCAATGTTTCTCATCTCAACCCCTAATGCTCGTGCAGGGTTCGTTAGCCCCACCACCACTACAGAACGTGCTTCACATTACACCTCAGCACACGTTCTCTGGTGCTGCTTTTCCCTACAAATGTATGTTACCAAACTTCACCCGAAGAAAAACCAAGAAGAGGTCAGAACACTGACTTGTGCAATCCAGAAACGTTCTGACGCTTCTTCTGCTTCCTCTGCTCCTCAGCTTCCAGCTGGAGCTGGCGGAGAAGGTCCTTTGCCTTGATCTCCTTTCGGCCCAGGGGCGTTACCTGCACCATATGAGGAAACAAACATTTGAATTCCGGAGAGACTCAAACACCAAGGTTATTAAAACTCTCCTTTAAGCAATTCCGTAATTAAACCCACACTTCTGTGCGCCCTCATTCCTAACATCCTGTTTGAGCAGCCCTGTCACAGCAAGAAAATTAGTACAACTTCTACATTAAAGTTCCTGGAATTAGTTTTCTAGGTTCTATGGGGTAACAAAGAAAATTCTTTCCCTTCTCTAGAGTTCCAGAAAGCAAAAGGAAAGAAAGGGGAAAGGCCCATTGATGCCATTGACCCTACCTTCAGCTCCTCGGGGGGCTGAACATCATAGAGCAGAGGACCTTTGATCAGCTGCAGGTCGTGGGTGGCGATTGTGGCTGCTGTCCTCTTCTCACAGATGTCTTCATGCAGCTTAGTCTAAAAGAAAGAACACCATCAAGTATACCAACAATATCAATGTGATTTATTCCTCCTGGGGTTCAGACTCTTCTATATTTAGTGTTATCAGTGACTTGAGTAACCCTTTTGCGTTAAATGGAGCCCTTCTCTTCACCTGTGAAATGATTTTATCAGAATTACAAACGAAAGGTGAAGGCAGTGAAGCACAGCACACCGCATGTTTCCCTACTGAGAAATAAGCAGGTTTAAATCAGAAAACAATCACAAATACGTGACTCTCATAATTGGAAAGAAGCCAACGTCCCTCTCATGGACAGGGGCAGCGGGAACGGCTGTGGTTACGGTGCCTGGGCTGGAAGGGTTGGGATGTGGGATGGTTTTAGCTCAGATGAGGGAACCTGGAGCCAAACCAGGGCATTTCTACCATGAGTGCGGGTTTATTAGTGGTTCTCAACAGGTCCCACAGCACTTAACAAGCTGTTGTTACAGAGGGAACGCAAACACATGTGCATTCATCGCCCTCTCATGGCAATATCTGAGCTACGAGGTTCTTCACAAAAACCAGTTTTGCTTATTGCAGCCTGAGGAGGCAGCACGGCCATCCCTCGCTGCCCGTCCCTCAATTCCAGACACTTCTCTGCTGGAAGGAGCCTAGAAGGGTCCATTTCCCACTCTGCTAACAACATTCCCATCACAAACGAGTAACACAAGATCTCAGTGCTTACCTGTGCAGACAAGAACCTCTTCAGAGCATTTCCTGGTTTCAGGTTGACTCCCTTCAGCACGCAGCACACAATGAAGGCTCGAACATCTTTGACGCCCGGGCTCGCTTTGACCACCAAGGGTGCTGGGTTTTCGGAGACGTGCAGCACCTTCACCAGCAGCTTGCTCGCTTCCTCCAGCTCGTCCTGCTCCCCGTCCACGCCATCCTTCCTCTGTTGCTTCTCCCTCTTCTTCTTCCTGGCCTCCTCTCTGCCGCTCTCGGCTTTCCCCTTCCCGCGGCCGCCGGCCCGCAGGTACTCCAGGATGGCCTTCATCTGGCAGCTGTTGACCATCTTCTCCAGCCGCTTGTCCTTCAGCTGGTTGCCCTTGAAGTTGGCTTCCTTCAGGCGGGGGCAGTCGGCCAGGGCAGCGGGCAGCTCCCGCAGCTGGTTGTTGCCCACGTCCAGGCTCTGGAGGAGAGAAGAGAGACGGGGGTCAGTGGGGATGGGGGTCAGTGGGGATGGTGAGGATGGGGGTCAGTAAGGATAATGGTCAGTGGGGATAGTGGGGATGGTGGGGATGGGGATCAGTAAGGTCAATGGGGATGGGGGTCAGTGGGAATAGTGGTCAGTGAGGATGGTGGGGATGGGGGTCAGTGGGGATAGTGGTCAGTGGG